GTTCTGCTCTGTGGAAAAACAATGGCAAATATTTTTTTATATTCCATTTTCCACTATGGGATTTTTCTGTGTTTTTATAAATAGTTTAACATTTGATAAATTAAAATTATTTAAAAAAATATCTGTTTTAAAAAAAGTACATTAAGAGTACCAACAGTGTTCCTGCAGATCCTTAAAAAGCCTTAAAAGTCATTGAATTCTTCAATCCAAAAATAAGGCCTTAATTAGCCTTAAAGTGTCTTAAATCAATCTTTAAGAAGTCTTAAAAATGCTAACACATTGTACATAGGATGCCTGTAATTCATCTCAAATATTAAAATAATTGGTAAAAATTATTTTTTTTAAATATTCACATGCAGACATTCCCCTTTGACATCACTTTCTGTTATTTCACGTACAACTATCTCAACTGATCATCTAAGCAATGTGAAATTTGTTTTGTAACATGTTAATGTTGTCTTTCCAAACATGCGTTCATATTTCTTAKAAAGATTGATGTCACAGGCACTTTAAGGTTTCATCTACAGCAAGCTGGGATTACGACCCCACTGTGGGRCCTAAAACTACAAATTTTGGGTCGTTAGAGGATTTCCTGAAATTAAATTAAGTTTAAAACTGACGGCTAAGAATGTTTCTGCTATAGTTAGATATGGATAAAAATAATTGGTCTATTAGCAATAATTGAATACGTACACAAAAAATATGTTGATTCATGAGTTTCTGCCAGTTTTTATTTTTTTGTCATTTGTGTTTATTATGAAATTGGTCTTAAATTTAATTTCACTTGGCATTAAAAAGTCTTAAATTTAACTTGCCTTAAACTGTAGGAACCCTGACCAAAGAAAATTGGGRCAATTTTCAGAATTTGAAACCTTTTTTTTAGTATGAAATGAAGGTATAAAGAGCTGTAACAGCAGTGTCTCAGGGTTTCCTGCAGTGCATTAACACCCTGGTGGACCACCAGGCTTTACTTGACCCCGACCCTTCGCCCTCCAGGCTTAGCTTCATTTTTTTTAGAACCAGTGCTAGTTTAAAAAGCCTGAACAACATTCGGAACGTTTCACCCACCAAGTGTTTCACGGGGGACCTTTTTGGTTGCTGCATCGCTAAGCTAGTTGTTTAGGCTGTGTCCAAAACGACAGCCCGGGTTCTCCAGAGGACCCAGACTACCCGGTCGAGGTGGGCCAGGTCCTTGGTAGACCGGGAAGAACGGAAAAAAAAGAGGCTGTGAATTTGGACGGTCTAGCCTCCCCTCCACCCCGGCGTACGTCATGTCACCTAGCAACCATGACGATGCTAAACAGAAGCAAAAATAGATCAAAAGTAGAAAAATATCAATATATTAGCATTTTTAATATCACAAAACAATAAAATTAACTTAAAGAAACATTTTAAGAACTAATTGACCCGCTGTAGGTGCATATTTATTTCGCGTTTTTATGATAAAAATAATATTTAAAAACATGTCTATACAAACGATAAAAGTATTAGAATTACAACCGCTAAAATTTTTTAATTTTTATATCGCCATATTTTTTATTTAAAACGTATTATTTTCTCTCACTTCGTCCGCCATTACTAGCTTAAAAAAATAATCTCTGGTCGGGCCGCAATGCATTATGGGATATGGTGGGCCGGGAAGGATCCATCGGACCTGTCCTTCAAATCAGGGAAAAGGAAGGACGTATTTGTCGGCCGCATCGGAGGAGTCTTCGGTTTGGGACGGCCTTCGTCACTGCGCTATGACYTATGTGGCCGACGAATTCGGCCTTCGGAGGACCCGGCCTGCCGTTTTGGACACAGCCTTAGTTAGTTTAGTTGTTGATGTTGAGCGGACTGAGCACTGGGACATTTCATTGCACCCCAACCAAAAAAAAAAAAGTCACTTCCCCACTTGATCAGTTTTCTGAGGCGAAACTCTGAGGGCTCCTCCTAAACAAATTTAGCTCTTTTTTTGTCCTGTTTATAAACTAAAATGCAAATGAAACACCTTTTTTGTTGTGTTTCTCTTCTTACTCAGTTATACTTTGGAGTGCAACTATAACACAGGGAAAACTATGAACACTATCCCACCAGCCTGCCATGACAACGGTCGGGCCAGCCCACCTCCCCCTCCGTCATTCCCTCCCAAATACACTCCAGAGATATTTGAGCAGGTAGGAAATCACCAATATTCTATAATGTCATAAACAATATTAAAAACATGGGGAGAAATCCGATGAGTCATGGAGTTTTCTGGTGGTATTTTAGGTGGGCCGTGCCGTGGCCATCTCGGCGCTGGACATGGCCGAGTGCAACCCCTGGCCTCGCCTGGTCCTGTCCGAGCACACCTGCCTCACCAACCTCCGAGCCTGGATCCTCAAGCACGTCCGCAACACCAAAGGCCTGAACGCGCACATCCACGCTCCGTCGAGGGCACACAACAATGGCGGCAAGTTGTCGCCTCCGAAAAGTTTCAACAAGTGAGTTCCCGTCCCCCTCCTCCTCCTCCTCCTCCTCCCCCTCCTCCTCCGGCAGTTGTTCGTCCGCTCACAGCTGTCTGCGTTTGTCCCGGGTTTCTCAGCAGCTTTTTGTCGGGGTCGGTGTCAGAGAACGCCATCAGCCGCGGCCGCTGCAACAGCAACAGCAGCAGCAGCCAGACTCCCTCACCAAAGATGCACAACTCTCCGAGCTTCACCTTCGGCTGCCCCCCGCCTCGAGCTCACGTGCAGCACAGCAGCACACACGCCGGCGGGCGCGGAGGCAGCAAGACCCTCGGACCGGTCAGGGGTAAGCTGATCTCTCGTTCAACTTCTCCCAAGCAAGGACTTCATGTCCTGGATGTTTAGAAACATGATTTGATTGATTTGATTTATTTATTTAACAGGAAAAGATCATTAAAAATCAAGCCTGACTCAGCATAATTGCTGTTTTACAGCAGGTTCCTGTTCTGCAGCACATAAAACACTCAGAATTACAGCA